TACTGATATATAAAAAGAAAACTGCATGAATGATGCTCATAGAAAAAGAATCTACGAAACTAGAACATTCCAGTGTGATCCTTGCAGAAATGTAACTAAACCTTTTTGAGGAGTTTTAGTATCTCAGGCTCCTTGGAACCAACCCTAACTGTAAAAAACACGATAAACTCAGTCTAATCAAATTTAATTTACTAACTTAATCAGGCCATTCATGACAATTAACTCAGAAAAAAAGTTTTTCCATTCAATGACATCTATACATATAGACTACTGTGTTGTATCACAAGTATTGCGCAACTCAATTTAATTCATATTCATGCAAAACAAGCTACCATTTAATTACAAATCAGGAGCATTTCAAAATGTAACAAAAAATAAAACAGTACAGCATTTGATCTAAATTTAAGTGTGAGCAAAAGGCTGAAGTTAGCTGCTAATTTTCTGAGTTCTGCATGAATCCAGAATATAATTTAGAATCCTCCTTCCACATCTTAAGCCTTAAATGATCTATCCCTGTCCTATATTAGGGATCTGATCATTCCTTATGTTCCCAACAAAGCACTTTGCTCTTAATCTACAGGTTTACTTGCTGTTAATAGAACCTCTAAAAGTAGAATTAGAGGCCTATCCTTTTCAACAAAATTTAAAAAGTTACAAAACAAACCACTGGAATTTGTTTTCTTGGTGTGAAGACATTTCACTTCCCAACTAGAAAGCTTTCTCAATTCAAAATGACTAGAATAGCTTTTGCGTTCAAAAAAAAGCCTTGTTATGGCTTAGGAAACATGAAAATCGAGAAAGCTTCCTGGATAGGAAGTGAAACGTCTTCAAACTTGGAAAACAAAGTCCAGTAGTCTGTTATTTTACTTTTTTTTTTTCCATTTTGTTGGAATGAATATGACCTGGAATGATTCAGAATCTTCACCAGACCAGGAAGCAGATCTTTTAGTTATCAGGCTCCAACTCTTTCCATTAAAGTCAAATTATTCAGTACCAACTTTGTACTAAGGTCTGTGGGGCACCAGATGAGTCATGAGTGGCTCCGCTTGTTGTTTTTTGCCAGTGTGTGAGACAAAGCTCACATGACGCTGTTGTCCGGCTGATATCTTAGTTGATTCTAGGCCAGTGTCATGATGGGTTCACAGATGAGACCCAGTTATGCAGAACACCACGGAGACGGAAAACAAGAGTAAAAGTTTAACAATGTTTATTGTACACAAGCACATGGAATTATGTCAGGAACTGGTTCAGGCCTGGGGACTGGTTCACTGGAGTCTGTGTAGATAACAGAGCAGTTAGCTTTGAGAGCAATTGGGTTTGGGTTTGTGATGTTCAGGTTAATACTTTGAGGGTTCCGGTTTGAGCTCAGAGAGGGGAGCTGTTGGGTCCAGAGAAGGTTTGTTTCAGCAGAGTCCGATAACTGCTCTTAATCCAGAGCTGCATGGGAAATCCAGAGAGGAGTCCTGGGGTTTGGCTCAGAGGGCAGGCTCGGCAGTCTGAGCTCATCCAGAGCTCACAGAGAAAAACAGGTTTCCTGGAAACAGAGACACAAAAGGATTAGAATCCTTGCAGGACTCAGAGGGCAATAAAAGATTCTCAGAAGGTTCTTTGGCTCAGGTGCTAACCAACTAGATTCAACACTGCGGCGTCGAGGCAAGGTCTGAAGACAGCTTTTATA